TTTTAACGAAAACACAAACATATTCATCAAGCATTATCCCACATGAAATTCCATATGGTTTTTGCTATTTTTCCAAATTTTTAATACTTTCAAATACGTTTGGCAGCAGCGAGCTGGGAGCGAATCGACTGCGGATGACGTAAATCCGCACCAACTTTGAATTTAATCTATAATTGAAAATTCCAATTAACTTTAATCTCCGATTAAATTAAATGTTGATGTCAAATGATAGTTTATGAACATCTAAGATAGGAATGTGAAATCGGTTTTCCTCTGAAATTAACCGTTCAGGTTTTACAGCCTGTCAAAGTTGCAAAAAATCAATGTTCAACTGTCAATATTTCCAAAACAGTATAGGGTGTATCACATGAAATCTGCTCAGAATTTTACGTAGAATCCAAATATGCAATCACATACAGGGTGTTTTATTTGAAAAAAAGAAAGTTGGTCTAGATAGCAAACAAACCAGAAGTGACACAGGCAATACGTTTAAGTAGAATTGTGGGAAATATTAGGGACATAAAGCTACTTGAAATAATTCATCGATATCGGTAGCCGTAACGCAACTAGATACGTTGACAAGCGAAAAGGCTGTTAAAGCGCTCCCTGTTCCGGTAAACGTAAACGCATTTCATAACCTAGACATTTTTGTCTCAAAACTTCGGCGTTTTTATATCTAACCTTAAAATTGTTATTTTTTTTGCGATAGAGAAGCACTAAACACACAAGAAACTCAAGAAATTATAAACTAAACAAATTAAATCAACCCGGAAGAAAAGGGAGGTTATATTCATTTGAAATTTGACACATGCGTCAGGAATGTCAAGATACGTTACCGATACGGATACCGCGAGAGGGCCGTAACGTTACGTTGTACGTACGGTATCTCGGCCTCCGCATCGCTTCTGCACATGCGCATTACGATACCGATACGGATACCGAGCAAAAAATACGGAAGCTTTATGTCCCTAATTTACTGAGCAACTTTCATTAAGGTCACTTTTTCGTATACGAGGTAATTAGAAAGTTACAGGTATTATACGCGACTTTTTTGCCACTCTGTATATTTAAGTCGTTTTTTTATTATTTCTTATCTGAGCCTGAGGCCCTGATGGATCGCCCCCCCCTAGAAGGAATCCTAAATCCGCCGCTGTCCAACACGTATTCCAATTGATGAAACCTGTGAAGGGAAATATGACAAAACTTTCGAAAACGTCATATGACAGCGAGCAACAGAAGAAAACAACATTCCCCTTTGTGGCATCTGTCTTTCATGGCTACATTTTTTTGGCAGACATGGCAATGTGTGCGCATTCCAGTTTTTAGCTATAGTTCATTGGATCGATACCACTCGAATTTGAGCAGTATGTAGCGGTTTGTTAAACCGGAGCCACGTGAAAAGGGTTATTGTATAATATTTCCGGCTTTACTGCTCCCAGAGCGCTCCCCGTCTGGGCGGTGACGTCACAGTTCTCTGTCGGAGTGCTCCGAACCCGATTATAATATAATCCAAACGAGGGCACACTGCTCGAAATGCCTCGAACGTGCTTTATTCCAGGGATGTGCCGTAGACTATGAGGGCGAATTCTCATGAGCGTAAGTTGACTTTTCTGGCGTAATCACGTGATAAAATGGCTGGGTTTTATTGGTAAAATATTCGCCATGTTGGATATTTTACCAATCAAATCACACCATATTATCACTTGATTACGCCAGAAATGTCAACTTACGCTCATGACAATTCGCCCTGAAATCTACTTTACGCGGTTTGTCTACTCGTTGTCTACGTATTGTTTACATCCACTTTTTTCCATGTAGACTATGTAAACTATGTAGACAATGTAGAACAGAAAATTTGAAATTTGAGTAATTTTTTTGAAAGTTTGCATTGCATTAAATTTATATTGTATCAAATTAGACTCTGCAGTTTAATCAACTTTACAAAGAAAAAAACAAAACAAAGCCAAAAACAAAAACATAACCTTAAAGGCCTGCCTACTGTCAAAAATTGTATACTTTACGCGTTGTCTACATAGTTTACACGTTGTCTACATAGATTACATAGTTTACATTGTCTACGCGTTGTTTACACCAGACGTAGGCAATCTTTGTTCACGCGTAGATGCCCATCTCTGCTTTATTGTCTTGATCAAACTCTCTGGCGTGCATTTACGATTCGACAACCCGGGTTATATTCTACCTATTTTAGGTAATAAATCTTAGTCGGGTAGTTGCAGGACTTGAACGGGATAAGAAACGCCTTAACCACGGTGAATTATGCCACATGTTTCAATTATGGTTTTGATTTCGAATCACGTACATTCGTAGTTTAGTTCTTTTTTGAAGCATCCCGCGATCCGTGAACGTAGGGTTACTTTTCATGCATCCGTTTATCCGTCAATCCGTTGATCCGGAAGTATTCCTATTGGTCCAATATTTTGGCGCCAGAATATCGGACCAATAGGAATACTTCCGGATCAACGGATAAACGGATGCATGAAAAGTAACCCTCAAAGCTTAGTACTCATAACAACGAAATTCGCTCTTTTTTGACATAAACCGAGTTTTCGCGACAAATGTAGTTTATCCAAGGACGAACCATAGTTCATCAGTGACGTCATGAGTTTGAACGCTGGCTAGAAGCTGCATTAATGCTTCCGTCAAACTACGTTCAATATGACGTCATGAGTTTCTCGCGAAAGCGTTTATGTTCACGAGTCAAGGCTTCGATACGCAGTTATGAGTACTAGACTTTATCTGGACGCTAGAGCGCGCCCGGGCGCCTTTCGTGAATGCAGCCCTGATCCATCGAATTTGACGGAGCAAAAAAGAGCACTCCGTGCGATATTTGAGAGCGCCCCGGCCAAGTCGAACACGTGAATATCGCCGAGAGCAATGCTCCATTTGAAGCCGAACATGTGCATCCATTTCGGATCGCTTTTTAATCAATCGGGTGCAGTTTTAGGGCAAAAGTCGAAAACGCTATTTAGTTTTTATGTAATGAGCGCTTTCTTGTGTTTCGTTCTGTTTCTTTAGCAGGCTGCAGGCTTAGGTAAAGAAATGGAAATAAACTCAGAGCGCATTAAATTTACCATTTGGAAGGAAACGCCAGAAGGCCGAAAGGCCCAGAAGATCGATCAGAATCAGCTGCTTCGCGTCATGGGAAAAAAGCCTCGGAAATCCATTGCTCAGACGCAGAAAAGCCCTTTTGTTTAGTGTTCCAATATTAACCGGTAAAGTGCGTTTTTTTTTTTAAAGATAATTCCCCAAGTCGAAAATTTAGTAACTATGTTGGCAACACAAGCCTTTTCTGCATAAAAAATTTGAAAGCATTGACAATTTTACATTGTATTGCCAACATAATGTCATTTTGACTTTTATCTTTAAAAAAAAACACACTTTAGATTATCCGGAGTGGATTACAGCTGGCAGGATTACGTTAACCAATTCCACTCCGAGTACTATTGGCTGTTCGGTCTAAATAGAGAAACTAGGGTCCTATTGGACGCAGTCGACTGTCGAGTAAATATTAACAAAAAGTAAATAAAAAAAAACATTGGAGTAAACAAATTCAGCTCCACGACCTTGATTACCGATCGCTTTTTAAATTCGTAGTCGGTAGTCGTCAAAATGGGGTATCTGGGCACCGGGATTACAAAGTGTAGTTTTTTATAGACTCTCCATTAATCATAGTTTTCAAAATTATTTGAGCTTAATACATAGAAAATTGTCACCAATCAATTTCTATTCTATTAACCGATAAATTGAAAAACAGCAAGTTTTTTTCTTCAAGGGCCCGGGTTCCGGTTTAAAATGGTCGGTGCAAATGGCCACAGAGACTAATGGCTCCGGTGTTAGTCGACCCCGATTTGAAAGGAACAGATGCGCTGACTTTCGTGCATTTAAACGATTGGAATCGGGCTTGAGCACTTCAGGGCCGAGATGCTAAAATCACGATTCGACACACGACTCGACAACGATACCGGCCTTGTCGTGTCGAAAGGTATAATTCCAATGAGATTTCTAACCTAGAATCGTCGGAAAAATCGTCTCGTTGTCGAGTCGTATGTCGAATCGTGATTTTAGAATCCCCGACCAGGTGCAACAAACACTTTCGAAAGAAATAAGCGCGTAAGAGCCGTTTTACACGGCAAAGTTTTTTCACGAAATTACTTACGAAATTGTTGCCGAAATATTCCGTAAGTCAACTTTTCCTGTTTTACACGACAAGAAAAACTTACGAAATATTTCACGAATAAACTTTAGAAAATGTTCTCATGTATAGTTTTTGTAGGCGTGGCCGAAAATATGCGTAAGTTTCGGCGCACACTGAAAGGTAGTTTCTTTTTCGTGGAGCCGATGAAAACGTCATTGAATTTCCTATGTAATAGATAAGGATAGACTGCTCATCGGTGAAAAAAGTATGCACCCAAAAACAGCTGGGCAAATTAAAAAAAAAAACAAACTCTATTTATGGAAGGAAGAAACAAACTCAACTGTATGAAACTGCAGGAGGGTACAAAGATTCAACAACAATTAGAAAACGGAAGTTTTATATGTTTTGGTTTATCAAAGTATGAGGTTATGATTTGATATTATTGATGGCAAAACGTAACTGCGCCTGCGTATGACTAATATTTTCACGAAACTTTTGCTAGACTTTTATTTGCCGTGTCAAACAGGAAAAAGCGAAACCAAGAATAGAAAACTTACGAAATATTTCGGCAATAATTTCGTAAGTAATTTCGTGAAGAAACTTTGCCGTGTAAAACGGCTCTTACTCCCTGGAGCTGTTCTGGAGCGCTCCTCCTAGGTGTGAAAGGAATAGAACTTATGATTAACGGTTCGGATCAAAAAGAGCAGAAATACAGGAACGTAGCATTGGTGATAAATGACAAGTTAACGTTGACAAATATAGCGAACTGATATGACAATTGACAACTGACAACTCCCAAGCAAGGAAAAGGAGACATACTTCGACAAGAAAAAACACTATTTTCTTGACCTCGTTCTAATTTATATTCTTCGGCTTATTTTTATTTAATTTAATTCAGATTCAGCGATTCTGCATTATTCTGCAATATTCTGCATGGCATCGTGCTGATTGTGCAGTTCCAGAAATCCAGTGTTAATCGGGTTTGAAGTTTCTTATACTTTTTTGATTTCTACCCTGATTGCTACATTACTGTTACATTGTTTGATAGTCATAAAATATAGCTTTGAATATTTTCAATTTTCAATATTCAATATTAAAGTTTGAGCATGGCTAGTGGGGGCGATGGGCCTTCCCGGGGTCGTGGACGTGGGGCAACTATGCTGGCCGCTTTGGAGAGAATGAAGGAGAAGGAGAGACTGGATAGAGAACAACTTGGAGTTCGAGGGGATGAACCCAAACCTGAGCCTCCAAAAGGATTGGTAAGAATAATTATTATCTATAGCTTTATTTAATTTGTTGATTTGTCGCAACACAACACCACGAAAATGTGATATATTAGGTATATTTTTATGTGAAAATAGACAATATACCTATATGATAAGAAGAAACACAATTGTTTTAATAGTTATTTACCTAACAAATGCGGAAAGTGATACTTTACCGCACGCAATAGCAGTAAAGTGCACTTTACCGCATAGTGTGCGGTAAAGTGATACTTTCCATTCGCAAATACGTGCGGTAAAGTGCACTTTACAGCATGCGCACTTTACAGCACGCTCGTAGGTAAAAGGTTTTATGTTAAAACTTGTAAAATCAAGAGTTCACTTGTGAGTCGGTATTTTTTCTTGTTCTTGGGCGTATTTTCCTGTAAAAGCCTGTCGACAGTTGGCTGCACAACAATATTTTTATACCATATAACAGTGAGGTTGCTTCATATTTCCATATGTCAATTTTTTTTGAACCCCTATCTCTGCCAGTGCTTTTGATTCCAATAATAGTATAAAATAAAGAAAAACACTTGATCCAAACATCCTTTATCGTTTCACATCTCAAAATTTTAGCCCATTTCCACATTGAATAGAACCACAGGAATCAGGATACCTACTACTTACTGATGAAATTGGTAAAATTCTTCAATATTTTACATTGTACCTGAGATTGTACCCAAGCATAGATTCTTTAGACAAAAAAACTAATTATTTTTTTAGGTTTATCTACAAATAACAATGACGATTTTTTATGTCCCATTTTAAATTTAAAGGATAGTAGGAGTAGGTACCTAAGGCAGGTTGGAAAAGACGAAAAGACCTATAGTGTTGTAAAATTCTCAGTAATTTTCGAATGTTACCGAACTTTCAGGAATGTTTGAGAATTTTCGAGAATTTATGAGAACTTTGGAGAATGTTGCAGAAGCACCTATAAATTCAACTTTTTAATGTAGGGCTTGTAAAAATCAGTAGCGGCTCGTGGTGTCCAAGTAAGGGTGGGCGACAAAAATAAAATACACCCGTGGGCAATTTTTTTAAAATTTTCAAGGTCGCGGTCTTTTCAAATATTGTATTAAAAGTGTTTTTTATTTTTCCATTTTTTCTCCAGGATGGCGGTGCCCACCTTGCCCATATGGGCGAACCGCCACTGGTAAAAATGTCTATTAATAATAAGGTTTCACTAAATTTCCCTATTTTTCTTTTCTCTGGTAGGGGTAGGTGAATTTTCCATGAATTTAAATATAACCCTTGTCTATGTATTATTAATTTATTCTGAAGAAAATGATAATATTTATAAAACTAATACAAGTCTTGTTTCTTGTGAGTTGGAATAATAAAAAACAAAGTAGATGTAGGTAGCAGTAGCACCAAAAAATAAAATTCAAAAAAATCTTTAAATGCAAATACCCAGGCAAATACCTACATAATATAACTTCATAAAGTGTTAAGTAAAATCAAAAAATTATATAAAAAAATAAATTTAAAAATAAAATAGGAACTCTAAAAAAAGGAACTTAAAAAACGAACTTTCTGTAGGTAATGGTAATAACACAAGTAGTTATAAAATAAAAAAATAATAATAAAAATATTCAGAAATCAGGGTCCATGCCCATGATTAATTCTGAAAAATCTTCAGGCCCAACTGACGAGTCGCTACATGAAGAGAGTATTCTCCTTCTTCTTCTAAAGATGACTCAAATCGAATGATTGGGTAACGTTTAGAAATGCATTTTGAGCGAACTTTCGCTTAGAGAGGAGCGAACATTACCGTAAATTACGGTAATAGTGTGAACGTTCGCTTCTTACAACACTAAAAAGACCTACTTTTTGAAAAAATATTTTTAGGTTTTTTAACACATATTTCAATTTACCTACCTTTCCGATTATAAGCAGTACAATTGAATTATAATTTTAGATATAAAGTTTTTTTAAATTTTTTTTTATCAATTTATTCCAGACCTCTAAGTAAACAGTTACAACAAACTGGCACTGAGGCCTTTAAAAAAAAAACTAACAGATATAAATGCATGATATTTTTCTAATCACATATTAACATAAATTTAAATTTTATATTCTGTTTCTTCTCAAGTAGCCTTTAAGGTTATGACCAATGTTCTGGATAGTACCCTCTAGTACCTATTCTTTTTCCAAGGCTTTTTTGTATTGTATTAAATACTTGTATAAATCTATACACACCTGGCAAGTAAACATCTTGCATGCCAATTTTAATGAGATAGAATGAAATGTCTAGAGAAAGTCCAAGGTTGAATAGAGAACAAAAACGATTTCCCCTGTTCCACCTCTAGCTCGATCTCTAGCATTCTCAGCACTTTTTGCTGGAGGTGGAAATGGTGGAATAGGGGAAATCGTTTTTGTTCTATTTAACCTTAGACTTTTTCTAAACATTTCATTCAAATCAAGTTTTTCAATACTCATTATTTATTGTAGTACAGTCTCCAGTACAGTGCTTCCTATCAGTCAAATAAGATTTTAGCGAGTTATAGCATACTCCACTAATTCCCATTTTATTCAATTTGTTCATCATTAGCTGTATATCAACTGTGTCGAATACTTTTTGGAGATCAACAAATACAATGACATATTGTTATTACATACTTATTTGTTTTTGTCTAATTCTTTGGTAATATATTCTAACATATCCACTACTACCCCTTGTGTCCTACTTTTGCTTTGGAATCCATATTGTTGATTATCAAATTTAAATTTTGTTTCAATAAATTTTACTAGTCTTTTCACTTGTCTCAATGATGTTTTCCAATACTTTAGAATAGATAAGTTGCTGAGAAATGAAATAGGCCTGTGATTGTTCACATCATCATGTGATCCTTTTTTGAATATTGGAATTATTTTAGCTTCTTTCAGCTCTTCAGGATATTTCCCTGTTTGCAAGACTTCATTAGTGAGCTCTACCATTTTTGGTCTGATGATGTTGATAAGAGTTTGCAGATATTTTTTTTACTATGCCATCAATGCCTGAGGCACAGTTGTTTTTTAATGAGTGGGTTGTTTGTTTTAATTCTATAATTGTTGTTGGCTCCAAAACTATGCCATCTGCAACCTCTTCTTCTTCAAATTTGATATTTAAATCTCCAATTCTAGACAAATGGTTATTGAACTCTTTAGCTATTTCTTTGTCATCTTCAATTGTTTTTCCATCTGCACTAATTATTTTATTATTTTTTTTTTTTTTTGATTATTTGAGCAAATAAATTTTACTATTTAACCTTAAGAGAATTTTTTTTATAAACAGTTTATTGTTTAAATTTTATTCATTAATATACAAGGCGAGATATTAAATTCAGATGTCTAAAGTTATTATTATCATTTTTCAAAAAATAACATAAGAGACCTATGGTTTATTTTTTTCCAAGATAGATTTTGGCATTGTCAACTTTGAAACAAAAACAATGCCGCTTATTGGTCGCTATTGTAAAACTGATGTCAACCTGCAGAAACACCTCATTTTGCGACCAATCAGGGTCAAGCGTTATTGTTTATGTTTCAAAGTTTTCAATGTCAAAATCTATCTTGGGAAAAAATAAAGTGTAGGAAGGGATTTTCGCGTTTTTCCCTAAAACTATAGATAAACATATCAAACCATACAGGGTGTGTGCTATCCGAAACGGTAAGAACTACAAGGTCGGTTAAATTAGAAATAAGTTACCTTTTTTGATGTCGATTCAAGACTTGTTTACAGTGTTGCCAAATTCCTTTCAGTTTGTGAAATACAAGGTGATTTCTAAAAAGCGCCTAAAATTATTTCATCAATTATTTCAAAAACTATTGATTTTCGAGAAACAATTTAAATTTGAAAAAAAATTAGCTCAACTGAAAAATTAAATTAGGAATTAAGAAATTTGTAGCTGATTCATAGTTCAACTATCTCTTTCTAACTCATTGTTTCTTATGGAAAAAACGGAATTTATTTTTTTTCTCCAAAACTATGGAAGGTAAAGGTATAAAACCCTATATCATTGAAATCAGCTCACAAAGAGCTATTCAATGAAAAAATAATATACGGGGTGTCCCATTCAAAAAAACACAACTTTGGTCAATATTCCAAAATCGGTGGCATCTGGAAAAAATTTGGTCATGCCACTTGATTCTCCTTGAAAAACTGCCTATAGAAAGTATTTTTCGTTTTTGGATATCTTGATTAATAAAGAAATTATAAGGTCTTCTAAAATTGCGCAAAATTTGAAAAGTGCCCTGTACTTCCTAAACGCATCAAGTTAGCCGTGATTTGTCTTCGCCATTGTTATTTTCCCAAAAAAAGAGATCGAGAATGTGCTCCCAGATTTTTGATATCTCTGCTGGTTTTCGATATAGCCCATTAAAATATCGAAAATGGGCCACCCTGTACATTGAAAACAATGGTCTTTAAACAGGGATTATTCGGTAAGGGAAGAAAAACTCTTTCTAGACATAAAATTCAACTATCTCAATCACTACAATCCACCAAAAACAATTAATAATTGAAAATGCAGATGATAAACAATAATGATAGTAACTAAATTTTTGACTTGGGGAATTATCTTTAAAAAAAAATGGACTTTAGCTCCTATTGTGTAAACTATATTCCAAATTTGAGGTAAATCTCTCAAAAATTGCAGGAGCTGTAAAAAAAAAAACTGAAAAGATATTGAAATTTCATCACCCTGTAGATTGGTAACGAAGCGTTTGTGGATCTATGTTTATCAGAAATTTTAGTCATAAAATAAACCAAAGAACCCTTCCGTTTGTACATGATATTTAGAAACACCCTGTATATTAGATGATGATTTAATTGTATAGCACTGATGCTTATGAAGCAAGTTATAAAGCTTTTGATTTACATTTACTTACTTACTTGATGTAGGAATCTATGTTTTTTTTTTTACAGATATACCTCAAATGTTGTATTCCTTTTTTCAGGGCAGATCTGTAATGCTCAAAACTTTACACAGCAGACTAGGCATGCGGAAAGATGCATCAACTTCTGCGACCCCTGCTGTTGTGAGTGAACCAACTCCAGCCGTCGTGAGTGAACCGACTCCAGCCGTCGTGAGTCAACCAACTCCAGCCGTTGTGAGTAGACCAACTCCAGCCGTTGTGAGTAAACCAACTCCAGCGCCAACACGTTCTGCCGAGACAGATGTCACAGAAAAAATGGCCAAACTCGAAGTATCAGATTCGGCATCGCAAGTATCAGATTCGGCTGTTAAAGAACCTGTACAATATAAGGGTAAGACTTTTTTTGTAATTTTATTATGATAAATTTTATTGATACAAATTATGTTTAGGTTCTAGTGGTAAACCAATCAGGCTGTCAGCTAATTATATCCGCCTTGAAGTTGCCAAAGGCCGAGGTGTGTTTGAATACGAAGTTAAATTTAGTCCAGAAATAGATGCTAAAAACCAGAGAATGCGATTGGTAAACCAGATAATGAGAGAAATGGAGAGTGCAAAACTTTTTGATGGTGGTCATCTTTTATATTTACCAACAAAAATTACAGATACCCAAAAAACTTTCAAAGGAATCTTGCAAGGTGATGACCTAGAAGTGGAGATTACAATAATTTTCAAAAAGCAAAAACGCTTGGGCGATAGAGAATGTATCCACCTCTATAATATCCTTTTTAAAAGAGTGATGCACGCTTTGTTATTTATTCAAATGGGGAGGAACTATTTTGATACCGGACACAGAAATTTGATTCCACAACATAAACTGGAAGTTTATCCAGGTTTCGCAGTATCAGTAGACGAACTTGAAGATGGATTGATGCTCTGCCTTGACACTCAACATAGAGTTCTGCGTACACAGAATGCTTATGAGCTATTGAAAGAATTACATTCGTCAAACGCTCGGACATTTAAGGAGACAGCCCTTAAAAACATGTTAGGATCTTGCGTATTTACACGGTACAACAACAAAACTTACAGAATTGACGACGTCCTATGGGATGTAACACCGAAAGATACATTCCCAACTAGAGACGGAAGACAGATTTCATTTTTGGAATACTACAAAGCACAACATAATATAATAATTCAGGACCCAGACCAGCCAATGCTTTTACACAGAAAATCCGTTGTGGTACCTGGTAGCTTGGAAAAAGAAGATAGGATGTTGTGTTTGGTTCCAGAAATATCTTATTTGACTGGTTTGACAGATACGATGAGGAGTGACTATAAGGTAAGAATAAATTATTATATTTCTATTTCTAGAAACTATATTTTTGATAATGAAAATTAGAATTTTATTATATTATCTGCGATCCTTTCGTGTCCTTGTGAAGAAATGTTTTACTTTTGTGGGTTAGAGGACAGGATCAAAAAAAAGAAACTATCAAGCTTTCGGCAACGTTTTGGAAAAAAAAATTTCTTTTTCAAGCCCTGGAAAAGGGAAATACAGGCACTTAGTACAATTAATATACTATTGTGAGTTAATTACACTTTATAAGCGAAAAAATAGATAAATAAATAAAATAAATTGTTTCTTTCAGTACTTACTTAAACTATTGTTTCTAGAGTCCGTTCAGGATCAAACTTGACGGAAACAATAATATTGTTCATCGATTTTAATCTGATACTCGGACGGAATGTGAGCTGGTGGCTCCCTACATTAGAACGCCAATGGTTACCTGACGTCACACCTGTTTTTGCCATATGAAACACCCCCTCACTCCTCATACCGCAAGTATCAGTTAAAAATCGACGAACAATAAACAAGTTGGTGACATTTTTTTTTGCTATATGGGCAGGTATAATTGTAGTATATTGGATAACTGCTCTTAGCATTTCATAGTTTTTAGAGATAGTAACTGATCACAAATCTTTACAAACTTTGTTTGGGGAATATAAAACTTTACCTAAAATGGCAGCAGGGAGACTTCAGAGGTGGTCTTTGTTTATTAGTGGCTTTGATTACACTATAAGGTACATAAGCGGTAAAGAAAATGTCAAAGCTGATGCTTTAAGTAGATTACCTTTGCCTTTGTTTGAGCCAGTTGAGCAGATTGAATATGATTACCTGAATTTTTTGGAAACAGTTACTGCGATTGATACTAATAAAATAAGGTCAGAGACTAGACGCGATGCTGTTCTGGGTCAAATTTTCAATTTTGTTAGACATGGTTTTCCTGGGCATACCAAAAATGAGTTATTTAAACCTTATTTTATTAGACAATCTGAATTGTCTATTGATAATGAAGTTTTACTTTGGGGATACAGGGTGATTGTACCTACCAAGTTAAGACAACAGCTTTTATTAGAGCTTCATAGCACCCATGAAGGGGTTAGTAAAATGAAGGCTAATGCTAGGTCTTATTTTTGGTGGCCTTCACTTGATAAGGACATTGAGAGAGTTGTGTCTGAGTGTCGTATGTGTTCTACTTGTAGACCAGAACCTAATAAATCTACTTTAATTCCTTGTGTGAAATCAAACTATTTCTATGAACATATACATGCAGATTTTTTAGGTCCGATTAAAAATAAGATGGTTTTAATTATTATTGACACTTTTTCTAAATGGCCAGAAGCCTTTATCATGAAAAGCACTGATGCGGTGAGTACGGTTGAAAAATTTCGGAAATGTTTTGCTAGATTTGGTCTACCAAAGGTTGTAGTAACTGACAATGGTCCGCAATTCTGTTCTGATGAGTTTTCTAAATTTTTAAATTTTAATGGAGTCAAACATCAGACCTCTCCTCCGTATCATCCTGCGACTAATGGTTTCGCTGAAAATGCAGTTAAAAATTTAAAAAGTAGTATTTCAAACGCATTTAAAGAAGAGGCCAATAGTGATGTCTCTTTTGAAACTCTAATTAGTAGATATTTGTTTCATTATAGAAATTCACTACACACTACTACAGGTGTTACACCAAGTAGTTTAGTTTTCAAGCATAAGATAAGAAACCGATTTGATTTGTTGATAGAAAGAAGTGTTAAGTCTGATAAGAATGTTCTAAATTATCCTGGTAAACGAAACGAGCTTTTTAAGGAGGGAGATAGCGTATTATGTAGAGATTTCAGAAACCCGAATAAAAAGGCTTGGGTCGAAGCTAAAATAGATGAAGTTCTTAGTGATAGAATTTATTTATGTAAAGTGTTACATGAAAATTTGATTTGGAAAAGGCACATCAACCAAATATTGAACAGTCAATTGAAACCTGAAGTTGATTTTAACCAGGCAACATTGGATGATGCACCTACAGCCAAAAATAATAGTTTAATATCTGATAAGTATTGTATTTCCTCTTCTGTGACAAATTTACCTAATTGTGACTCATAACCCGAAAATGACATTTTTGAACCAGTGATTGAACCCATTTCTAGTGAAGTGTTTAGTCCTAGAAAAATAATGACTGAAACTAAAGAAGCAAAGTGTTTATTAAAAGAAAATAGTAAGGTTGCTAGTTTGAATGTTAATGAGCATCCCAAAAGAATTATAAAAGCACCTCAACGTTTAAATTTATAGGTAGGGTAGATTGTAGTATATTGGATAACTGCTCTTAGCATTTCATAGTTTTTATATTGTCATGTCAGGTTTTTGTCATTATTTTTATCAAGGTATATTTTTATTATATTCTATTTCTTTTGTTATCTTCACTAGTTACTAGCCATGGTTACTGGTTGTCAGAAAATAAACTTGGATAATTTTCCTATGATTATTCCAGAAATCCTCTTTGTTTGAATTCCCAGTTATCACAATAATATTTTGAAATAGAAAAAAATCTGGCAACATTGCGAAACGATGGGTGTGGAGAGGCGTGATTATTCAGAGGCATGATTCTATTGGTTAGAGCCTGAACGGCAGCATGCAGTGGCGTGGTTATCGGCGAAACTAGAGTTTTTTTTTCTAATTATTTTATTGGTTTATTTCCTTAGTGTTTTCGATGCCACTGAACTCAAAGACATGGCTGTCATCAAGCGGTGTCAGTTGAGGTGTCAGTGAATATTTTTAGGTCACGCCCCACTTTTCTTCCCCCTTTCGTTTCTACCAAGTTACCACTTGCCAGACTATACGTGATGGACATGTCGTGTCCCTAGATGTAATTAGTCTGTTCACAAAAAAAAACAAAGAAAATAGTCTCGGATATTATTAACTCTGAACACAGATTTATTTCCAACTACACAGATATTCCTAAAAAATACTCAATTGACCTATTGTTTGCCCAGCGGATCTGAGTCTACGGAAGGAATTCGGACGTAAATGTGCCATGTTGCCACGTTTAATCATAAAAAAGTGAAAATACTAGGCATGAAGTATAGTTCATTTGAAAATCCATTTTTTTATAACAAAATATTGATAACAATAATAAAACGCTAAATATTTTAACGCGGTTGTTAGATCTATTCTTATTTTAATCCTGATTTCTTCAATTTGGTCTATTGTAAAAAAATAAACATTTTCTAAAGATACCATCAGCTTTTGACTATTTGGCAAGCATCCGGCCTGGATGAACCTGATTGGTGGAGTTTTTGGCGACCATTGGGTTGTCAATGAGCTAACATCACCTTACGTCTCGCTATTGGCCAGAGCTTACGTCATTTTATCCTTCCATCTTGGAATATCGATTTATATTGAAATATCCAGTGGCGGAGGTTTGGTCATTGTTAATTTTCTTGTACAAGTTGCAATACAATAACACTTCCAAAAAGTTCCGCACGCAGCTGGGTATTTTATGAATGAAATCAGAATTTTTTTTTTACAACTGCATTCCCCTCACCGTTGCCTCGTAGACACAGAGTCGCTGGGCAGACATTAGTAAATTACTGTTTTGACACAAGTTACTTTTCCACTAATGGTGATAATCATTTACAAAAAGATGGGGAATCCTGCGTCACCAATCTTAGCTAATCTAGTCATGAATCATCTCATCATTGAAGTTTTGAAAAGTCTACAGTTTCATGTCCCATTCATATTTGTCTATGTTGATGATACAGTATTATCAGGTCCTCAAGACCAACTGAATGTACTACTAGACACCCTTCAACAGCTGTGAACGAAATCTCCTGGATATGAAGAGAAACATTTAATGAACCACAATTATCCTCTAAGTTTCATAAACAGAAACATAAATAGATTTGGAATAAAAGTTTAAAGTAACACTAAAACTCAACAAAAATACTTCAAATTTCCTCACATTGATTGTCTCTCTCAAAAAATAGGCAGATGCTTTAACAATTCGGAGCTAAAACTGGCTTTTTACAATCTAAAAACCTCTAGCTCTATTTTTACACCGTTTAAAGATAGGGTACCAGAAGGAAAAAGAAGCTCAGTAGTCTACAAAATACCTTGTGAATGTGGCAAATGCTATATTGGCGAGACAGTGCAGTATCTAGACAAAAGAGTTCAACACAGGTATGATTGTCGTAATGTTAGAATTTACCATGAAGACTGCACTGTCAAAACATCATTTTGAAACTGGCCACCATTTCAAATTTGATGAAGTTAAAATGGTAGACTCTGAACCTCAGATTTATAAGCGAAAGGTGAGCGAGATGATTCACATAAATTTAAACAATACAGTAAATATCAAAATTGACACAACAGACAGACTGAGTGGAGTTTACAACAACATACTACAAACGTATAAAAATGTCAACAATATTGAATAATAAGTTCTTTTTTAACATACTGTGATATCTTTGTGATTATAATTAATTTTGGTGATTGTTTGTAACTACTTTAAGGCCTTGTTTGTAATAATATTTTTTGTTTGTTTTATTCTTTATGTTTGCCTACACAAACTTAGTTTGTAACTAATTGTAAGGAACTTTAATCACAATTAGTAGCTTCCTTTTGGGTTTTTTCCGAACTGTCTAAAAAGGGCCAATATAATCCCAATATTTAAAGCGGGCGATAAGCAAAATCCCTCAAACTATAGACCTATAGCCCTGTTGCCGACTCTATCAAAAATTGTAGAGAAACTAGTAAAAAAAAGAATCGTTTCATTTTTGAATGAAAAAAAGATTCTTAGTCCCGAACAATATGGATTTCGAGCTTCCAGGGGGACTTCCGATGCAATATTTGCATTCCTCGAGGAACTTTTCTTGAGACTGAATGACAATGACGTTGCCGCAGCGGTGTTCTGTGATCTCACGAAAGCTTTTGATTGTGTCAGTCACAGAATATTGCTGTGGAAACTGCAGTCCTATGGATTTAGGGGATCCTCTTATAAATGGTTTGAG